ACTTTAGCCTCAGGAAGCCTGGGGCTCCAGGGAGGAAGAGCCTGCCCTTCTTTGGGGAGAAGGAGGTGATCTGCCTCCTTTTCATTAAATCAGGACTTTGATCCCTCCCACAGGGAGAACCTCCCTTTTCAACACCTTCCAATATCCTCCCCCCTGGCTGCGCCTGGCCCCACTGTCACCTCACCTTGAAGGAGACAGGATGTGTTTGCAGCTGGGCCCTTTCTCTTCCCGATTCAGACTGGGAGTGAGCGAGGCTCTTTACACTGACTGAGGCTGTAGCCCCACGGCTCAGGTTGCACCTGAAGGCATCAGGTGGACGGGAAGGGAGCAAAGGGGGCAGAGGCACTGGTTGCTCGTTGCCACCCTCTTTGCCACCTTGCTTTGCTGATCGAGTTCCCGGCTGGGGGTTGGTCGTGCGGGAGCCCAGGACCCAGGATGGCAACTGGGTCTGTCCTGCAGGAAAAGCCCTTACAAGGCCAAGCTGCCTGCGTGATGCAGCCAGGCCTCTGGGTTTTCTAACCAGGGGTGGGGAGCCGCCTCCTCCGGCCCCCTCTTCATCCATTGTTCCAAGAGCTAAGTGGTAAAAAAAAAAAAAAAGTTTGGGCAAAATGACATGTTGGTGTGTTCGATCTGTGTGTGAACTCTCCACCTGAATTTTTTCAGAGTTGGTAAAAACCTGGGCAGTCTATGAACTCTCTGAACGGAGGGGAGGGCAGAAAAATAAACAGAGTGCTCCGGTGATGAAAAGCAAACGCCAACTCAGAGCTCCCATCCGGCTGGAGTGTCCCCTGGAGCCTTTTGAAAACCCCACTCCTGACAAACGGCTGGCGGTGGCTCCTGGGAACGCACAGCAGAGACCTGAGACAGGTGTGCTGCACTTCTCAGGAGGCAAAGTGCAGCAGAGCTGGTGCAAAAGTACCTTCTAGAAGGGCTGGGGGTTCCCCCCCCAGAAATGAAAGGATCTCAGAAGTCCATGGGTGTCTCACTGCTGAACTGACCCGTTAGCTTAGTTTCTCTGAATTTTCTACCCAGAACCCCCACTCCCTGCCACATGCTTGCAGGAGGGAATGCTATCTAGTCATTTTGCCAGGTGGAGATTCTTTTTGAAATGCGAACAGCTCCCAATTTGTTTCTTTGGGAAATTCATATACATATACGTATATGTGTGTGTGTGTGTGTGTGTGTGTGTGTGTGTGCGCACTCTTTGTGTACACATACCTGTGTATAAAGGATTACTACACAAAGGAGCGAAGCCCCCTCCATATGATAATAGCTGGTCTCCCAAGGCGTGCACTCTGTGCCTACAAAGGTGACCAATTTGTCCCAGTTTGCTGGGGATGGTCCCGATTTTAAAGCTGAAAGTCCTGCATCCTTTGAACCCCCTCAGGCTTGAGTGAGGTGGGAAGGCTGGTGACTACAGAGCCAGGCATTTGAGGTCCGTTATCTCAAGTCCTCACACATCACTGTCAATCAGATGGTGTTTTTACGGGGAAGGGAACTGAGATGGAGGTGCTGAGCGAGTTGCCCAAGGTCACCCACAAAGTCAGTGGCTGAGCAAGCCTTGCATTTAGGATTACCCCCAAGACCATGCGGTTTGTTTGTTTGTTTGTTTGTTTGTTTGTTTGTTTTACTATAGGGACATCTCAGATCTTGCAGCTACAAAGAGGGAAAGCTCTGCTGAAAATCCACAATGATTGGCAGTGGTTACCTGGGTTTGGAAGGAACCAGCATTCAAAAGGGAGGGGGAGGCCTGGAGGAGGAGAAGGTGCTGAGATGGCGTCTCCTGGCTGGTGGCTCCTGCGGCTCAGAGATCTCCAGCGCTGGGTTCTGAGGATCAGGGACTTGCCTAGGGCTGGGCAGCTCCTCCAAATGGGAGTCCTCCATCTGGCCTAGTGCATTTAACCCTCTCCCTGCCACCTGTGAGCCCACAAACGCTGACATGGAGGACGTGGGACTGGGGAAGTGAGAATTCGCTGAGAATTCCCCTCAAACAAGCAGCCTGATTCCTCTCCCTCTTCCCGCCCAACCCCATCCCAGCCCATCCCCTTCTGACCCCGCCCCCCAGAGGTTTCCACCCAAGCTGGGGGCTGGTGGGCCTCCTGAGGAAGAGACAAGCAGAGAGGTGGGGAGATAATTATTGTTTTCTCCTTCGGGTCCTAGTGCTCTGCCAAACTGGGATTCCCACTCTCTAGGGACCCTAATCCCCTGCTGGTACCTGGAGGTGTCCCAGGCACAGATTTCCATCCTACTCATTTTCATGGGCCCACTTCCAACACATTTCCACTCCTGGCCTCCCCGACCCCTCCCTCCACACACACCTGGGCCTCCTGTTCAGGCTGCTTCGATGCCACCTAGACAGAAGGATGGTTGGGTTTCCTACGGGATGTCCTAATCACCAGCGTTGAGCTGATGAGAAACCAAGCCAGGCCATTCCGCTCATGAGGTCCGGAGAGCAGGGGTCCTCTTGGGAGTTTCCTAGTTTAAAAAGAAAGGGATGGCCGTGGCCTGGACTTCCTGGAAGACAGTGGTCCACAGGCTAAGAGAGAATTACAGAGAACAGGAACGCCAGCAGGAGTCATCAGCCTGGGGAGAATTTCCTGGGCGGCTGTGTCCCAGTCTGAGGAGAAAAGCATAGACGCCCAGTGCTGCTGGGTATGGTTTCCCAGCACCCCCTGTCCCAGCCCCATCTGCCCCCATCCCATTCCCATTGAAATAATCACAGGGTAGGCCCAGCCTGGCTGGGTTGCCATGGCAGCCGCTCCACTTTCTTTTAATCCCAGTGTTCCTTCCTAAAGGGACCTCCCCAGCCCCCACTCCCCCCCTGCAATGTGTTTTAATTGTAATAACTCCTGGGTTTGGGGGCGGTAATGACCGTGTGTGGGGAGCCAGTGTTGGCCTGGCTCCATCCCTAGAGTTGCCCGCCCAGCGGCGCCAGGCAGCCCTCTGCCTCCCAGCAGGGGTCCTGGAGGAGCCCAGGGCAGGCCTGGGCAGGGTCTGCCAAGGGGGTCTGCGGCCTCAGCGCTAATGAACACAGCCAGGGGAGCCTCGGCCTGCGGAGTTTGTGTCCTGAGCACGTTTATGGCACACCACCCCTTACCCCCACCTGCACGCTCCCCCCCCATCTCTGTGCACACCTTGAAGGGAACCCATGGGCCATTACTCTGCTCCAGACCCCAGCCAGCCCTGCTGCTTCGGGGATGTGACCCTGAACGTGTGCTCAAATTGCCTGGGGTCTTGTTATGATTCAGGTTCCAAGTCTTAGTAAGGCCCCCACCTCCTCCATTCCTAGCCAGCTCCTGGGGGACACGCATGCTGCCTCGCCACAGACCATACCTTCCGTAGGAAGGGTCTAGAGCATCCTTGTCCAACAGAACCGTCTGCGGAGATGGAAATGTCCCCTATTTTCACAGCATTAACTAGCTCCTACCCACGTGAGGTTATTGAGCAGTTGACACGTACAGCCGAGGAAGGGAATTTTATACTTTATTTAATGTTCATTCATTTACGTTGAGCCACACGTAGGCTGGTGGCCACCATATTGGAGAGCACAGGAAGCTCCCTGGGTCAGTGCAGGTCCAGACTTGGCTTAAACTCTGCCTGCCGAGGGGAGCCACTTGGACACAGCCCCCTGGTCACCGTGCAGCTTGAATCTGCTTCCCAGACCCTTTCCTCTCATTAACCCTGCACTGCAGAGACCCGCCTTCTCTGTCTCACAGACACAGTGCTTCTCCCTGGTTTCTGTCCTGCTTAAAATGGGCTGCCGAGAAGCGGGCACCAGACCGGATGGCCTGACTTAGAAATAAGAACCTGAGGTCTGACCCGAGCCTGGAAGGTCTGCACACACCCAGCTTTTCTGGGAAGCCATTTCCAGTCAGAGCAGCGCTGAGGTGCTGGGGCCATGATGGGCAATCAACAGGCTGTCTTATAGCTACTCTTCCTTCTGACGCGCATTAAGAGACAGTTTTCAGGTGATGCAATGATGCTGTCGAAGCATGCTTGCTTCCACCCGAGCCCTCCTGGGCCGTGTCGTCCCATTCGCACGCTGAAATATTAGATCTTCAGTTGGGAGTCCAACAGCAAAATATTTCTGAAATTGTGTGTGTGTTTTTCTTCTAATTTAATGTGCCAGACAAGCCTCCCTGTAATTAAAACCAGAAACAAGGACCAGACTTAGACAGAGATTTGAAGGCTGTAAAATTCTAGGACAGGTTTATGTAAAGCAATTAAAAAGGGAGTTAAAAATTGTTAAAAAATTAAACACTAATTACTTTTTTTTCTCCTCTCATTTCTGCTGAGTTGTTTTGGCTGTGGAGCTCGAAGAAAGATATAAAAAGGAGAAAGTTTTGCCTCGTTGCTGTAAATCATGTTTAACAAATGCTTCTTTGCATTTGCAGCCGGACCCATCTGCTGTCAATTAGCCTAAATCATGCCTTTTCAATTAAACTGGCTTAGGGAAGTCTGGTAGCAAAAGGGGTGTGTGTGTGTGTGTGTGTGTGTGTGTGTGTATGGGGAGGGGGCCAATGGGGTGGTTGTGGGGGGCGGGAGAAAGGTGAAGTCTGATTTCAGGCTGCGAGGTGGAAATATCTTTTAAAAGGTGTGATCCTATTTTAGTGTTTTCCATATAAAATGGGGCATTATTTGCTGTGCTGTGGGGAGCAGTGAAGGGTGGAAACAAAGTTGAGGAGGTAAGTCATGGGAATTGGGAGTAAATTCTTGGGAGCCCCAGCTCGAGGGCAAAGCCGACTGGAGCTGAGCGTTCTGCCTGGAGGGTGCGGGGTTCTGCCTGGAGGGCGTGGGGTGGGGGATGCCAAGACCCCTGTGTTCAGGGCATCTAAGATAGTGCGGGAAAGGCGGCTGCAACAGGAGGCCCTTCGGGTACAGACGGAGGCTTTTTTGGAGGGACAGTGTGTTAAATGCTGGACTGCAGAAACACACTCTGGCAGAGGCCAGTGAGGCGGTAGGGAAGGGAAGATGCTAGTATTGTCTTGCAAAATAAAACGGGCTTTTGGCACCCTGAGATGATCTGGGTATGGTCCAGGATGGGGGTGAAAGCAGGGTCCTGTCTCCAGGGACCTTATGGGGGTAACTGTGTCCGGCTCTAAATCCCTTTTAGGGTACCCCAGGCCATGTGGGCTCTGTGTCCTGGGGGAAGGCCAAGTTGAGTTGTGGCTCCCCCAGAGGCCAGGGCCCTTGAGCTGAGGGGTGGCTGGATCTGGCTGGGAGCATTGGTGTGTCTTTCTTTGCACGTGGGACCCCTCGTTGTGCTCATGTGCCCACCGCGGCCTTCCCAGCCTCTGGTGAGCCCCACACTTCCTAGCTCCTGGCTCCTCCCTGGGTTCATCAGGTTGGGGCTGCACCTGAGATGAGCTGACGTTCAGGGTGGTAGTTTAGGGCGCTTGTGTTTGATTTCATGTGGCCTCCTGCCCCTCGAAGAAGAAAAACAAGTTTGCCGTAACTAGATCGAGGAGTTTGCATTCTGTCCTCCTGCCCCCTGTGCAGCGGGAGGGGGAGAGGTGGCGTGTGTGGTCTGCTGATGAGTGTTTATTTTCAATCACCCAGCCCTCCTATCCTGCCTGCCTCAGCTCCCTCTGCAGGACTGCTCAGGGCAGAAGGCAACCTGCCTGAAAACCTGCTCCGTGGTTGGGGTTTAGAGGAGGGGACTTGGTGCAGGAAGGTCTGGTGACAGGAGCTAGTAGGTCTTGGAGACTCCGGTTGATATTGATATTAACCATAATAATAATAGCTAAAATGTATCCAACACTTAGAACGTTGGAGCACTGGCCCAAACATCTTAACACAGAATCCCTCCTTTCATCCTCATAGTGGAGCTCTGAGGGTGGACCATCCACAGCTTGATTTTGCATGTGAGGGAACTAAGCCACAGAGAAGTTGAGACATTTGCTGAAAGTCACACAGCTCATAAGTGCAAGAGCCAGGATTTGAACTCAGGCAGCATGGTGTCCACCTGCACTGCATACTGCCGCTTAGAGTGAGGTGGCCTCTGAGAGTTCTCACGCTGTTTGCTGCTGTGCTCCCGGGTGGGGGTGCAGAGGAGGGTGTTGGTGACTGGAGGCCACCGTCACATCCTGTATTGATGGCCTTGGGTATGATGGATGGAATGCCCAGATTTGCGTCCTAGCTGTGCCACCTGCTGCCTCTGTAACCACCACAAAAATCACGTATTGTCTTGGTCCGTCTTTGAAACAGGGTGAAGCCCGACTTCCCTGGGAGTGTGACATTTCTCATGTGCTGAGGTGCCCAGCCTGGAGAAGACATCCATAAACGCTGGGCCCTTTGCCTTGCTTCCTGGTGGCCTACTTCCATGAAGCACGACCTGGTTTCTCTCCGGCTCCTGGCCTGTGAGTGCCTGCAGATACCATTACACGTCGCTTTCCAAGTGATTCACTCTCAGCAAGACCAGGGTGGGATACCATCCGCAGAGCAGGCCGACACCCCTACAGGCTGGGCCAGGGTGCCCGTCCAGGGACTCCACCACACTGAGCCATCCTCTCCCCAAGAAAGGCCACCTCCAGACCCCAAGGGGCCCTGCCCTTTGTGGCAGCTGGAAGGAGAGATTGAGGCCAACTCCACTCCTGTTCTCTGTCCACAGCTTCTTCAGGCTGCCTGGTGCCCCCCCTGGTCGGGCAGAAAAGGGAAGGGCCGCCTGGCTTTGCCCCAGAGCAACCCGGCAGGCCCAGCCAGCCATGCAGGCTCTCCTCACTCTGAGCCCCTTTAATCCAACGGCTGAGTGCAGTGATCCGTGACTAGGGCTTCCAGGAGCCTCCCGGAGCCAGGCACCGGTGTTCCCAGCCACCTCCGAGCGTGGTGGAGAGGTTGCTGCCTGGCTCCGCAGAGCTGGCAGGATGTGGGAAAGGGAACCAGGGACTAGAGGCTTCAGTTGGGTGCACAAAGGTGCCCGGTACCCTGGGAGGTCCTCTCTGGGTCACAGGAAAGAGGGCGTGAGCTGACAGTGGGGAAGAGTGCCCAATGAGCACAGGACAGATGACTTGGGGAGCCCACTTTGCAGGCACGTTTTCCTTCCGGTCGTGGGCCCACCATGGGCCCCCCCCACCCTGAGCCGAAACGACTGCATTGTTGAACCGTGACCCGGCTCTTGGCCTCCTCCTGTCTGTCCTTCCCCACTCCTCTGCCCTTAGGACAATTTGAAAAGCTTTTCTATCCAAGAGGGGGGTAGGGTGGAAGGGTGCTATTATTCAGGGAACATCACGCCAGAGAGCAGGGACACTGGAGCCAGATGAGTCAGATTCTGACCTCAGCACTCTCACTTGCGCTGGGTGACCTTAGGCAGCTCACTTGGCCTCTCTGAACCTCAGTTTCTTCCTCCGTCAACTGAGGACACATCCTCCTTCGTCAGCGTGGTTCAGGATACCTGAAATAATGTACGTAAAGCCCCTAGTACAGCGCCTGGTACAAGTCAGAAGTGAGGAGTAAGTTGTTCTATGTCCTGCCTGCTCCCAAGTAATTCTATGCTTTGCACCTACCCCCAATGAGGTTCTCGCAGTCCCTCCTCTGTCAGGCTGTCAGGCCCTATTCCAGGGGACCCCAGGCTGTGTCTGCCCCTCCCTCAGGAGCCGGGCTGGGCCCACACACTCCCCCAGTCAGTCACAGGACAAAG